TTTTTTTTTTTTTTTTTTTTTTTTTTTTTATACTAATTTGGCGTTTTTTTTTCTTCTTAGAAATGGAACTCATTGAGTGTTCTCTTTGATAACCACGCTGTTTGTTTAATGAACTACACTTTTTGGTTTGTTAGAATTTTAAGCATTAGGTTTTGTAATGGTTATCGCTTGGTTGCTCAGGAAGCGTGGGAAATGACTAGAATATGCGAACGGTTTTGTGGTTTTTCGGAATTAAAAAGATTTAAGATGTTAAATGCAAATGGTTTTGAACTCTTGTGATTGGAAATCCATCGTTTTAGTGTGTTGCTAATTGTAATGTGTTTAGAGCTTCACAATTTGTGGAATTGAGGCTCGGTGCTGAACTGCTGTTTTTTTTTTTTTTTTTTTTGGTTCTGTTTGAATTTCAGAGGTCAGAAGGGGGTTTGTTCATCGACATGTGCACTTTTCTTGCTTTCGGGAAAGATTATGTTGGTTGGAATTATGAGAAGACTGGAAATCCTGTCTATTTGCATATAAAGCAGACAAAGAAGTTAGTTCCAGAAGACAGGCCTTCAAAGAAACCTACCATCTTGGCTATAGGTGTGTGAATATATTATAATCACTTCATTCTTGGCCATGTTGTGTGATGATCATGTGGTAAAACATTATGGATTTATGATTGTGCTTTGTGATTATTCTATGTCGGATTCTCTCTTTGTTAAACACAACTTCTGTGTTTGTCACAATGGGGTAAATAGCTCTATTGTTCTAGGTATTGGGCAGTGGAGTCTTCAGTTTTGTGAAGTCTAGATCATTATTTTTTCAAATAATTTGAGTGTTTGTTGATCAGCTGTTTCTTTTTTGGATAACATAATTTTATTCATCTTATTAATTTGTAGGTGTTGATGGGGGATTTGATAACAATGAGGTTGATTATAAGGAATCTCATTGTATAGTTATATTACCTGAGTATGTTTCTCTTCCATTCCCTTCTGTGGAATTGCCAGAGAAGGTACTTATTGCCCTCTTTTTAGTTCTCTGTTTATTTTCCCCCTATTATTAATTAAAGATAAAATGTTTGCTATGTAGAATAAGGAGTTTATTTTAGTTATCTCATTTGTTAAAATATTTAGGTAAGGTTGGCAGTTGATGCAATCTTACTAAATGAGGGTGCTGAACGAAAGGAGCAACTTGCAGCTTGGACTGCTGATAAAAAACAAGTTAGTACATATGCGATGAATTTACAACAGATTGACAATGGTGTTGTTATTCCACCATCTGGGTGGAAATGTGCTAAATGTGAGAAGAAAGACAATCTGTGGCTAAACCTGACTGATGGAATGATTCTTTGTGGGAGGAAAAATTGGGATGGAAGTGGTGGAAACAACCATGCTATTGACCATTACCGAGAGACACGCTATCCTCTTGCTGTAAAGCTTGGGACTATCACTGCTGATCTGGAAGCAGCAGGTGATGCCTCCTTGCTGAATGTAGTGCTTTGGCTTTCATATCAGTTTAATATCAGTGGTCTACTTGAATGGAGTGCAGTCTATAATCATGAATGGAAATCATTATGCCCATCTATTTATTTCTGGGTTACAATTTATGAGGTTTTTCTTTCCTTTAGCTTATTTTTATGATGGTCTAGTCAGCTGATTATGCAGTTTTTGCTGAACTGAATTTTTTCCTACTCTTGAAATTTTAATTAGAAATTTTTAATCATCAATTTTAATATATCAATGCTGATGGAAGAGTATTTCCTTATGAAATGTAAACCTAGGAAGTTTCTCTCATATTGTTCATAAAGTGGAGCTGTATTACTAGTTTTATGATGGATACACCATACATTTTGTACAATATTTTAACCATTTTAAATTATTAAAGAACAATATTTTTTTTTTTTACTTGTGTTTATCTGTTTGATCCATCCCAAACAAGGTGAGGTTTGTGTAAAGGATAGAAGTATGCATTCTGAAAGTTAGACGACAATTGTTGAAAGAGATAATTAACAATTTTATTACGATTTTATCAATTGAGCTTCTAAGGTGTCATTATTTAAGTGCAATTGTCATGCTAAATTGATTTATTTTTAGGCTGAACAAATCATTTCAAGTATCTAATCTAAATATGCTCTATGGAGTGGATGATGGACTTTATCATTTTCTCTGCTGTTTGCTAATTATGGGTAATGTATTGTGGCAGCTCAGATGTTTTCTCTTATCCAGAGGATGAAAGTGTCTTGGATCCACACCTAGCACAACATCTGGCATTTTTTGGCATTGATTTTTCATCACTACAAAAGGTTATATATTTATCATGAAATGATACTTTTTTCCAAGGGTACTTATTACATACGAGTTACAACTTTTCTGAGATTGCACCTGAACAAACATGTGCAATCAAAACTAATTTGTTTATAAATTTTGAAATGATACTTTTCCCAAACACTCATACACATGCACAAGCACACACAATCAAAATTATATTAATTATATATCATGGCTTCTTTCTGAGACTGCACTTGTCAAAAGTCAAAACTAATTTGTTTATAAATTTTGAAATGATACCTGTCACAAACACAGACAATCGAAACTAAGTTGTTTGTAAATTTGGAAATGATATGTGTCACTCACCCACACAATTAAATTTATATTATTACTACCTCCGGTCCTAATTATAAGCCAAAATGGATTTTTCTTTGGTCTCAATTATAAATCAGTTGTTAGTTTTTCAAGTTACTTAGGGTTAAATTTCTTTTATACCCTTCATTTATTGTTAATTCTATTTTTTATGCACTTATGACTAATGTTAAATATAACAACTACTTAAAGTAAAGGGTATATTTGGAATAAAAATTGAATTTATGGTATAATTAATTAAAAGCAGCCATACTAATTACTTTTCTTGGTCTTGGTGATTTGTCCCATGTTGCTTATAATTAGGAGCAAAGGTAGTATTTATTTACTCATGGCTTCTTTGAGACTGTACATGTCAAATCCCGGACACACAATCAAAACTATGTCACTTATCAAATTTCCTTCCTTCATGAGATGGGGGAAATGGAGAATATTTCTAGATGCATCCCTTGATTGTTTACTTTTGAAATGGAAAAACATTATTTTAATAGTTTATGCTTAATGGTATATTGGTATATTTGAAGACTCGTTATTATCATGTCCTAACAACCAAATTTAGATGGTAATATCACCCATTGTTTGCATGATGGATGTTATTTATGAGTGAAGAAGATTCAATTTGATGGTTGAGAATAAACTTCTGTCTTGTTAATCTTATGGGCATGGTGCAAGAATGTGCTTAATATAATTTATAACAGATAACTCATAATATTTTAATGACATTCATATCTTCAGACTGAAATGACAACTGCTGAAAGAGAACTTGATCAAAATACAAATTTTGATTGGAATCGAATCCAAGAAAGTGGACAAGAAGTAGATCCAATTTTTGGACCTGGATATACAGGATTGGTCAATATTGGAAACAGGTAGAGTTGGTCACTACTGTTTGCTGCTTATTATAAAATACTAGTTTGAGTGTGACTCTTTTGTATTTCTTTACTTTGTTTTCTTTCAGTTGTTACATGGCAGCTACTATGCAGGTTGTGTTTTCAACAAGATCCTTCTCATCACGGTCAGTTCATGTCTTCTATTTTCTTGAAACTGCTTGAATCCTCTTTGCATTTGCTCAACTTATGTTGTTATTTCATTCTTAGGTACTACATGAACCAAAGTCTAAAAAAGGCATTTGAGGTGTCTCCAGCTGACCCAACTGTAGACCTAAATATGCAATTGTAAGTGCATGTTTGGATTAGGCTTATTTTTCACAAAAGCTTATAATTGAAAGCATAAAGCTTTGGGCTAAAATGAAAAGGCCCTTTGTGTGTATAAATAAAGCAAACCAATCATGAGCTGAGCTACTATCTTGGTTGAAGTTGTTAGAATATTGTAACTATCTCTTATCTGCTTGTCATGTTTTGTTAATAAAATATTATGGTCCTCCATGCAGGTATGAGTTTATATTGATAATTGGTTCCAAAAATTCGAGAGAAAAAAATATGGAAGAGAATGAAAAGTCAAATGATGAGATGTTAAACTTCCTATTGAAGTGAATCATTGTGACAAGATTTGTTAAAATAATAATTTATTTTTCAAAACTCTGCCGAGTGCCAATCCATGAAAGCTTGTGACAGCAGTCACATTTTTATTTTTTGGTTTACTTAGGAATTAATTAAAGGAGTCAATATGATAAAATATCACAAATATATGTTGAAAGTTGAAATGTGTAGCTAAAATATTTTTATCCCTTATTTTACAAAATAAATCCGCTACCTATTCTGTATATGTGATATATTTGTATCTATAACTTTTCACACACACACACACACACACACATATATATATATATCTTTTATTCATAAAAATTATAAACTTGGTGTTACAATACACAATATACAAAATAACTAAATTATAGATGCACTTGAGATAGATTCTTTACAGAAATCAGAATGGGTGGCTGATGTAGTTTTAATGGTATTTGTCACTGTGTATATGGGTGCTGATTTTTTTAATTTAGTTTTTCCATGGTAAAGAATAAAGATGGTTTTGATAGGTTATCTGTGTCAATAATCTATATGTATAACAGTACTTGTAAGTTTTAGGAGAACATTCTGTTTCCTCCATAAAAGAAAATGTTTATGGAAGGAGGTACTTCAAGATAGACTCTTTTTTATTTAATTATAATTTAAAGGAAACTTATAATTTCATCAATTGGCAGGACAAAATTTGCTCATGGTTTACTTTCCGGTAAATATTCTGTTCCAGCATTTGAGGTATGCCCTCAGTTCAGTGAACCTCATTTAAAAATTTGTTTACAGTCTTTGCTAATTTATATGTTTCCTTGTCTGCATCCAGAATGATGAAAAAGAAAATGTTGCTACTTCAACTACAACTGCTGTAAGCTTTCGGTCTCTAGTGATTAAAATCTAATTCTTCATTTCTTTGGATATGTTTACCTCAATGATTACTGAATTTTCATAAATCCGTAAGTTCTTATTTGTCTGTCTGTTTGTTCTTTTCTCTTTCTTTTAATCCTTTTCCCTTTAGGTTTATATGCTTTACTATTTTTTTGGGACGGAAGAATTTTTACATGCGATGGACTTTAATTAGAATGGGGTTGAATGTGTTGCCATGGCTTTTGGTTGAAGTCTCAGCTGGAAATGAATGATTCATTTTGTTGAATGTTTTCAAATATCCTCTTTCATGATCTTGTTTCTTATCTTGATGCCTTATCTTTTCCCATTTCCTCTGTATGCCCATGTCCACCTTCTTCAAACATTAGAAACAAGAAGGGATACGCCCACGGATGTTTAAATCTGTAATAGCTGCCAGCCATCCTGAATTCTCGTCAATTCGGCAACAGGTATGTTTAGCAACTATTTTATTTCATTTTTCTGAATTAAGGATATAAGAAGCATTTAATATTTTTTGCTTCATATCTTGAAATTTATTTGTGAATTTCAGTTGGAAAGAAACTTGAGAACTCATTTTGATTTGAGAATTATTTTCTGTTTTCATCTCTTGTTCTCTTGTGGTGCAACTACAAAAGTTCCAACTTATTTTCTATTTTAATAAATGTGTATAGAAAATCATGAAAAAGAATAAAAGTTGAAGGTGCAGAAAAATATAATTAAGGCTTCAGAAACACCTTTGAATTATTTAAATTATTGATTTCTGCTTGGATTAGGAACTAAACCCATAAGAGTTGTCAGATAGACTATATTGAAATAGAGGAAGACACACTAAGGAAGTGACTTTTTTTACAGTTAATTGGAAACATATGTCAAGAATTGAAAATTTGGTTCAGCACTTGTCATTATTAAAAGGGTTTTCTTAACATATCAACCCTTTAGGGTAATTTTAATCAGCTAAAAAGTATAAGTTTTTATTAATGAAAAAATATTACATAAGTATAATAAATATTTTCTTTTCCATAAAAATATTTTCATATATAGTTGCTTAGAATCACCCAAAGGGTTGATGTTACATCCATAGATAAAATAATGTTTTTAAAATCAAACAATCAATTTTGTTGCAATTTTTTTTGTCTTTTTCTCAATCCATTCTCCATCTTATGTTATATTAAACTTTCTGGTAAGGATGTCGAATATTCTATGTTAAGTTATAGTTGCAGATTTGCAGTCATAATACTGTTAATTTTCATCATTTGATGTCTGTCTATGAGCTTTTTTTTAATATATTATCCAAATGATGTTTTAGAAAAATGGACTTGTGTTAGCAACACATTCATGAAACGTTATCATCTTTGTCATAACAATTTAAAACATCTCAGTTGGTGTTACTTTTGTTTATTTATTTATTTATTAAGTTTAGGCCATCTTATATTTGTTTTGAATTCTAAGAAGCCTAAAGTAGATAATATATTAACATAAGGTGATCTGATTTTTCAAAATTTTTCTGCCATCCTTTCATTAATATGTAGTAATAATATATTGTTCTTAAATTCATGTTACTTTGCTATCTTTTGACTTCTTGATTTCAACTTGATGTTAGGATGCATTAGAATTTTTCCTACATTTTCTTGATCAAGTTGAACGAGCTAATGCTGGGAAAACTGAACTGGATCCATCAAGGAGTTTCAAGTTCGGTATTGAAGATAGAATTTTGTGTTCATCTGGAAAAGTTACCTATAATAGAAGGCATGACTACATTCTTTCTCTCAATATCCCATTACATGAAGCAACTAACAAAGGTGAGTATTTATTTATGCCGCTAGTCTTTTCTTAAGCAAGAATTGAGATGTCTTTGAGATATCAAATCCTGTACTTGTTTTGTTTGAGAAATCTCAGGAGAATTAGAATCCTTTCACAAACTGAAAGCAGAGAAGCTTGCAGAAGGAAAGGAATTGTAGGTTAAGATGCTCTAAAATCTTATTATTTCATTCATGTTTTATTGGGTATTGCTGAGCATATTTATTCTGGTAGAAACGGCAATGAAATTGTGCGTCCAAGAGTACCTTTAGAAGCTTGCCTTGCGAACTTCTCGGCTCCTGAGGAGATACATGATTTTTACAGTACTGCTTTGAAGACAAAGACAACAGCACTGAAGTAAGCATTTTGATGTTTCCTAGGATTACAGTCCCATGCTTGGTGTACGGGATAGTAGTTACATAGGCTATATCATGGATTTCCTTTCATTTAATGAATTGTTACTACTAATAATGTCAAGCTAGTATTAGAAATAAATCAAATAATGTAGTTATAATCTAATTGTTAGAGCATTTGAAAATCATCTTATGCTGAAACATTTATTCCACAGGTCGGCAGGCCTGACCTCATTTCCTGATTACCTGGTGTTACATATGCGGAGATTTGTTATGGAGGCAGGATGGGTACCCAAAAAACTTGGTATGTTTGATCTTGATATGCCTATTTACAGTAAAGTATTATTATTGAAAGAATTTTCTGATCTATATATATTGCTAAGCATTTTTTTTTCCTTCAGATGTGTATATTGATGTTCCTGATATCATAGATATCAGTCATATGCGCAGTAAAGGTCTCCAGTCTGGGGAAGAGCTGTTACCTGAAAGGGGTATGTGAGAAGTTTTCTTTACATATGATATCTTTATAGTTTCAAATTGAGAACTAGCAAATAATTTGTTTCATAGAAACCAGATACACAAATGTTGCGTCAATACTAAGTTCTGTGTTATTGTGCCAATATGTCACTGTTGTTTTAATATATTTAAGGTCTTGCTGCTATGCCTATATCATTAGTGGAATTTGCTGTGAAGAGGTTAAGTAAATAAATTAGGTGGCTAACAATGATTTAGTATCATTTCCTGATGCTGATGACTCGCTTCCATTATATTAACTTTTTAATACTCCTCTTTTTAATCTATCTACAACTGAACCTGTTCATTTGTCCATCATTTTGTCTCCTAGCAATAAATGAATAACCTTAGTAACTTGCAAACTTTGTTTCTTAGAACATCAGTTTTTCAATGTCTAGTTGTATTAACGTCTACCTTTCCAGCTAAATAACCAATGACTATTTTAATCGGACTAAATCTGAAAATTATCAAATCTCATTCATTTTTATTTTTTTTTGTGATTTACAGTACTTGATGAGGAGGATTCAAACAAAACTTGGGCCAATGAAGAAATTGTCTCCCAACTGGTTTCCATGGGCTTTAACCACCTCCATTGTCAGAAAGCTGCAATCAATACATCGAACATTGGAGTAGAAGAGGCAATGAATTGGTTACTGTCTCACATGAATGATCCAGGTAGATGAATATATATATATATATATATATATATATATATATATATATATATAAACTTGTAT